GCGCCTCTCGTGCCTTGAGCATAGATGTCTTGAGCGCCTTGAAGTCGAATCCGAACGCTCTGCCCTCCTTCACTAGTCCAGTTCCACGCTTCTTGACCGGACGAGCAAGTCTGTTTTCGGCTCATGTGAGTTGAAAAAATATCGTTTCTTTTACCAATGCTTCAAAGCGCGGAGCTGTTTTCGGATGCTCGTTTTTAGACCGTTCCATAAGATAGCTTCTTTGCAATGATCTCACCTGCGTTCATGGAGGTGCATGCTCGTGCCTTCCCGATTCGTGAGCATGGGCCCCCATGTAGGGTGCCTACCGTGTCCTTTCTCTAGGGCCCCTATGTTGCACGTTTTGGACTCCGACGGCGACTAGGAAGGAGGAAGTGACATCAACGACACAGCAAACGCAGATAGGATGTTGACAGAAGAAAACAAAATCAACATCCAATCTGCGTTAGCTTCGTTGTTGACGTCACTTCCTTTTCCATAGTCGCCGTGGGAGTCCAAAACGTGCAACATAGGGCCCCGGCACAGCAGGAAGTCCATACCTCCATGGACATGGGCCTCCTGCAGCTGTGCCGGGAGAATGAAACGGTGGGCTCTACATATCTGCTCCTTAGCAGTGTTTTGTTTTTTTGTTTTTTTGTCAGGGATTTTTATATATATATATATATCTGGTAAGCAAGGCTTTTGATTGAATTGAATCAAACTGGAAACCGAAAAATTCGAAAACTCTCGCCGATAAATAGGCTTTCTGTGTTGCCCGGGGGACGCTGAGGAAAACGACTCGCTTTTCGGTGGGGTACAGTACAAGGTGTCGCGTTTTAAAGTAGCTGGATCCTGGGAAAGCATGGCCAAGCGCCCCGAATGGTCACCATTTTGGTTCATAGAATGAACAAATTCTCATTGACTTTTGTGTTTTTGGTGCGCCGATATAAATTCTCTGGTGATCGGTAGGCTGAGACGTTTCTTGTATACCAAGATTGTGCTATTCCCACACCGGCGAAACAAGCGTACACCTTCGTACCGCCACGACATCCAGCGTCGGTGATTGGAGGCATTGAAAAATAAATTTCCTCTTTTGAAATACCCACGAGCAATATTATCGTAAAAGATCTGCGAATATAAGCATGATTGGTAAGTTGATTGCATACACGGTGCCCAAAGGCGCTTACATTGGTTAGGAATGCTTTCAGTACGACGAGGCGCCATAAAAATCTTGGCGCGGCATGTTTAGAACGACCGTCAGATTTAAAAGAACCAAAATTGTGATTGCCATGGCAACAACTACCGGTAAGTCAATCGTCTTGTGAGGATTTGGTGGTCAGTAAGTTAGTATTCATTTGTGTCCCCGTTGTAGTAGGCAGAGAAGGCAATGGCGCTACTTTCCTAGGATCTAGTGATTTTAAGACGTCCAATACTGCCACGCGTGCAGCAGCGTTTCGTCTATTGTGCAGCACGCGATCCCGAGAAACCTACAAAGAAACAGGAAAAAAACGAACGTCACCCTAGCACAGGTCAAACCCCGTTCACAAGATCATAAAGGTATACCTCTCTAAGCGACCTTTATGACTGACGGCGAACCAGCTTGCGATCCTCTGCACTTGGCATGTGCTGGCGATCCAGGAGTGCGGGCTGAATCGCCGATTGCTAAGGACCCCCACACATGTTGAAGGTACATTTAAGCTGGCCGTGTGAATGTAGTATTAGAATTATGACTCGCCGTCGGCAGTCGCCTTCGGCAGCACACGACTGTCCGCGGCGGGTGATTAGCCCAGCATGCGTGACAGGTTAAGACTTCAGTGGAAACTCCTCCCACCTCTTTCGACTTTAGCAGACGCTCGAGAGGAGGCGACCATCTCTCCAGCGTTCGTTCTGCTAAAGGGAAAAAGATGGGGATCAATTTCCCCTGAACTTCTAACATGTCACCAAGTGAATGTCCGCGGCGAGTCATACAGTCGAGCATACTTAGTCGCAACCGTCGGTGGCAAGTTATATACGTAGTCCAGCATGGTTAGTCCAGAAAGGAGCGTTGGAAGAAGATTATGTTATTAGATTATTAGAGATTCGGGCTACGCGGGGAACAAGTACCCACGAAATGTTTGCGTAGGATATTTTAATTCGATCAGGCAAAAATGAGCTCGACGCCCGGTGGCGACAAGGTGTGTTGAAAATGCGCGATAAGTAAAATAACTGCTAGCCATTTTGTGATTAACAATGGGCAAGAGAAGTCAGAATTTTTTCGTATACAAGCTTAATAACGTGCATGTAAAGTAACGTGCTAAATAATGTGTAAACCATCGTTATTCTTTCAAGAAAGGGTTTTTTATGGAGCGAGAAAGATAGAAAATAGAGACAGATATCGTTCAAAATGCCTAAACAAGGGAAACAAACCAGAGAAACAAACAAGACAGGTCCGCCTCCCAGCGGCGGAACCAGCTGGCGCGGATGCGCACTATACTCTAAAAAAAGACCTTGCGTCTAGTTTCCCGCACAACACTCGAATCCAAGAGCCAGTCACCGCAACTTACGGAGGCAGCTCAGCGAATGACGATGCCGAAACATATGTTTAGACAAAAAAAAAGAAAAAAAAAAAGAGAACGCAGTTTGAAGTGTGACATTAAGCAATGCGAAACGTCACGCTTGCATTGCTTAATGTCACAGCTCATACTGCGTTTTTTTTTTTTTTTTTTTTTTTTTTGTCTAAACATATGTTTCGGCATCGTAATTTGCTGAGCGGCCTCCGTACGTTGCGGTGAGTGACTCTTCGAGTGTCGTGGGGAAAAGTAAACGCACGGGTTTTTTTGTTTTTTTTTTTAAGTGTATAGTTTTACTAGCGCATTGTGCTGATTGAGCGCTGCCCAGCTAGCCCTCGCGCTGGTGCCCTATCGGGAATCGGCGTGTCGGACTAACCAGAGCGTGTGCTCGTCTCGCCGTTCAGTGTGACGCCTACATGTGTGTGTGTTGGTGTGCCGAATGTCCGTGCGCTTGACTGAGTGAATTTGTACGCGGACGGCTCGCTACCCCGAGAAGCTTCTTTGGCCTAACAAGCCGGACGCGCTTTCATGGGGTGCCAGCCAAAGCTTAAAGCTCGATGACGAACAAAAGGTAGAATTAATTACAGTACAGGACGACCTCACTACGTGCAATCGCGTACTACAGTCGTATCTCGCCGGCAGCCGGTCCCGCTCGAAACAATAAATGCCCAATGTAGAGGTGGTGCGCAATAAAGATTGGCTGCAAAAACCACTATTGTTGGTTGTCCTTGAATTGGTCATAAGACTCACACGCAGCTCACTGCGAATATGACGACGTTAGTTTTGTGTTAAATCTTTATTAATACGATATCATTCTTTCGCTGCTTCACCCGGTTTTCGCGATACGCTATCTGGCCTCGAATGCGCCACGCATACGCCGCTTGTATGTGCTCATGGCAGTTTGATACTTTAGACCCATGTTACGGATAAAAAAAATAAAAAAAACAGGACGCGGGATGGCCAAAAAAACGCGTTTTTCGTTTAAGGCTCGTCAAATTATGAGGCGCTGGAGAAATGCAGCCTTCTGCGTTAAGTCCTTATTTCGAACTCTTTTTGTTCGCCTTCCGCCCATTGAAAAGCATGCGGGAAGAGCCTTAGAACGCACCTTGTATCGCTGCGCCGCAGCGTTCTTCCGCAACATAAAGTTCGTCTGCTTTCCTCGCCGTCACCATGGCAACGAACGCCGAATGAATTGAAGCACGCACGGTACCGCCGCGTGAAGCCAGCAACAGCTGACGCCATTTTACTAACGCCGTCTGCTAGCCAAAGCCGAACGCGGTGTGTCAGATCAACCGCCTCCGCCGGTGCGCCGCTAGCGAAGACGACGAAGCTGAGACACGCCGACGGCGAATGGGCGAGCAACAGCACCGCAGGACGACTGCAACGGCGGCATTTATTGGGATCAAAGGCGCGAAATAAGCAAAAACAATTTTTATTTGAATCGTAACACGCGATATCCAAGTTGGGGACCACATGCGTTTGCTGGGTCGTTCCTGTGAACTTTTTACAGAGACACGGGGTGCCGCTTTCAAAACACGGCTCCGTTTGCAAAATATGGGGGCCCTGAGAAGGGCCGTTTAGACCGCTACCAGAACCTATAACTGACGTAACGAGCACTTGACGAGCGAAAAGCTGCCGGACCTTCGCTGGAAAATCTGAGGCACGGTGGAGATAGTGGTCGCGATAAAAGTCTAAAGAAACAAAATAAATAGCCTAACGGTCGTCGGCGGCGTCATGAGGCCTCGCCGAGTGCAGAGTATAACGGTCTTGCAGTACGGTATATATTGTGCATTCTTACTTTTCTTTTCAAGAATTCTGACGCCCAAGACTCCCTCCCTTCTTTGTTTGAACGCGTTGTTATTGAATTAACAAATCAGCTTCAAATGAGGGACGTGGCATCCTCTAGGGTAAAGAAACAAGAAAGAAAACAAACAAGTAACCATTGCGAGCAACACCTTTCATCAAAGAACACGGCGCCCAAGAACGGCTCCCTCTTTTTTTTATTTACTTTGTTACTTTATTTTGTTGTTGGGTCCGACTGTTCTCTTCTTTTTAACGATGCCGACCCTGGCAACCGTTCTGGTCATACGATTGGCGTTTGTTTTGTCACGCGATGACATGGCCCGACCGATTAACCAATCAGTTTGTTAGAATGGTGTCACGAGGTATAAAATGGCGGATCAAATAAAAATAATAAATGCAAAGAAGCGCGCAGTTCTGCTTGTTTAGCCCCCTCGGCGCTTTATTCTTCCAGAGGCGACCGTCGCAGTGCCATGGCGTTTAACTTGTGCCGTCTTCATGAAAGACCCTCTTGAAGCAATTAATTTGCTTCAGGGCATAGGCCTGCTCCTGGTTTCGTGTGCGTACCCAGAGTGCGAAGCTGCGATGACGCTGGAAGTCCGCGCTAGATCTGCGGATGGTTATTCGTGGGGGTACGGTGTGTGGATGACTCGTGAGGTGCCCAAGAGGAAGCCGGTCAAGGTTCAGTGCCGGGGCGAGGTCTCGGTACGGAGCGGTTCCTTTTTCAAAGGATCGCACCTGACGCTTCTCCAACTCATGAAAATCATCCTCCGGATGCCAGAACCTACCGTGCACCGTCTTTCAGCGGGAGGTAAGGCAATAACTCATTGGGCGAGCCTTTGTCGGGAGGTCGTGGTAAATGCCGTCGTTAAGCATTCAGACATGATTGGTGGCGAAGGCGTGATTCTAGAACTAGACGAGAGTATGTTCGGTCGGCACAAGTACCATCGCGGGTATTTAAGGCCTGGCCAGTGTGTTTTCGGCGGTGTGGAGCGTTGCAGCCGGTGCTGCTTTCTTGTTCCCGTGGAGACCCGTGACGCTAGAACCCTGCAAGAGCTAATAGCCGAGTGGGTCCGCCCTGGAACAAGAATAATCACTGATTGTTGGGCTGGCTATCGCAAGCTTGCAGATGACGCTCGCTTCACGCACCTCACCGTCAACCACAAGCTGCACTTTGTCGACGCGAACACTGGTGCGCACACCAATACGGTGGATTGCACCTGGGCCCACGTCAAAAACTCTCTTCCATCTGGACGGCGCGAGAGCCACCATTTCACTGGTCACCTTGCAAAGTTCATGTTTTTGAGGAGAGACAAGGCGCGCGGAAACACTGATAGATTCCAGCCGTCCGTCGCCGTGGCCGCCAAAATCTAGAGCCCCGACGCAGACAGGGCGAGGATTCTGACGGCCCCGGTGACTTCCGAGTGATCCGCTGCGCTGAGCCCGTCACCCGCTTGCATGCATAAAGTCGACTTATGCGCCAACCACTCGTCAAGTGCTCGTTACGTCAGTTATAGGTTCTGGTAGCGGTCTAAACGGCCCTTCTCAGGGCCCCCATATTTTGCAAACGGAGCCGTGTTTTGAATGTGGCACCCCGTGTCTCTGTAAAAAGTTCACAGGAAAGACCCAGCAAAGGTATGTGGTCCCCAACTTGGATATCGCGTGTTATGATTCAAATAAAAATTGTTTTTGCTTATTTCGCGCCTTTGATCCCAATAAATGCCGCCGTTGCAGTCGTCCCGCGGTGCTGTTGCTCGCCCATTCGCCGTCGGCGTGTCTCAGCTTCGTCGTCTTCGCTAGCGGCGCACCGGCGGAGGCGGTTGATCCGACCAGGGTGCCGAACCGGAACCGAACCGAACCGAAAACCGGAACAGAACCGTTATTTTTAGCCGAACCGGAACTGAACCGAACCGAAATCTTCGCCGCCATCTTGGAACTGAACCGGAACCGAACCGAAAAAAATATAACGGTAACCGGTTCAAAACGGTTCAAGGTAATATTTCTTTTTTTCTTTTTTGTTAGTATCACAAAATGAACATATGGGAATAAAAAATTGGCGGCTGTATTTCTATCTATTGATCAAATCATCATATACAGTATTCCAATGTATGAAATTGTGGGTTTTCGTGGCACCTTTGTATTGGCACTATGATTAACCAAGTGTCACGTTGTCACGTGACGTCATGGTGTCAATACATGTTGTCAAGTAATGTCACGTGACTCGCTGCATCAACTCGATTTAATTTGAGGAAGTCATTAGATGTATTAACCTTGTTGACAGCATGACGTAACATGACATCACGATTTCGCACCGAGGGTCACGTGACACCGTGACGTAAGCGATTTTCATAACCCCTAGTCGAGTGCTCGGGTTCATGACAATCTGCGTCGCCAAACATTCGGGTAACAACTTATGTCAATTAAATATGATAATTAATAGCCCAACAGTAACAATATCTGAAGCTCTGCCCATGCTTTTGCTTTCCAAACCCTAGCCGCCGAGGGCATGACTGTGACAAACACTGGTGGTATATAATTGGCGTCAGATCACGTGGCCGCTTGTTCAAATTGCGAGTTGAGGAGATATCGACAGCTGTCTCTGTCCTTTATTTTTCTGCATCTGTTATTAGGGGAAAACTAATGGATGTTTCCGCAAGCTATCAACGTCAGGGGTTATTTAACACTATTTATTGAAAGTACAAAAAAATTGTTGCAAGACCAATTTTACATTATTGAGGCACCGAAACATTTTTTCGTTGTTGCTGAACTGGATCCGAGAAATGTCATTGAGAATAGAAGTTCTGAAATGACTAAATGCGACTTATTAATATGACGTTACATAGAACTACACGTGTCTACGGAAGGAATACCTAAAAAAGAAAAGATGTTTTAGCGACCTCAGAGGAACAGCCGAAGGTTGGCAGTCGCGGTAAATCTCACACGAGCGTTGTTCTCAAGATATTGCCGAAGTTTCGACCCCCTGTGTATTTTGCTTAAATGAGCTAAAACAATATTTCTATACATTACTAAATACTACTCAGGATCACTCCCTAACGCTAGTAACTGATTGAACTTGACTTTGCTTATTTGTCTAGGCAATAGCAATCGCCAAACAGTTAGAAAAATATGAGCATCGTTCATCCCCTCAACTCGGAGTCAGAAGCAGCCACGTGGCCTGGTGCCTATCTTATGCCGCCAACGTTGATCATACCGCCGCGCTGGGGTTTTAAAGGACGAAAACGCGTGCTGAGCTCCAGGCATTGTTAGAGCACGGCCGGACTGGAAGCGCGCGCTCTCTTTCTCTTCTTACGGCCTTTGCAATCGCCCGGGAGTCAATGGCATTTTTTCTCCGTATGAAGTTCACTTGCTCGCCGCCAGGAGCGCAACCACCTCACCCCACCTCACCCCACTCGGAGAGTCCCTTCGAGCTGCTTTGCGCTGGTGTTCGAGCTTCAAAGGTTGTTGTTTTGGCAACGATTTATTGAACTTCGCTCCGATTTAAGTCACTCTACCGACAGGCAGTGTCGTCAGCAAACTGCGTTCCTCTATGACATGGACTTCCGTGCTTCTCTGACCCCTCGCACGCCGTTGTTCGGAAAGCGCGGTCATGGTCAAAGAAAAGGGCCCTTCTAAGCAAATACAGATGTCAGACACTGATTCTGAGCAGTTGGCAGTGGCTTTGCCCGACTCGGTTACCACTGACCTGAAAAATCTAAAAGAGCCTTGCGCTCCATCTCCATCCGTGACATACTCTGGTCTGGTGTACGTCGGTGGCTATCTGGTAAAACTCATTAGTGAGTTTGGGTGCGACTTTTGTGTTATGCTGTTGACTACGAGTAACAGAGGTGATCCTCTGTTCGTCTTATTGCAAGGCCAGGATAAACGCGGACTTCATTATCCAAATCCTAGGTTCTTCGCACTTCTGGACAACATTGTTGCTTTCTCTTTTAAGGCTGTTATGCACCTCCGCGTAGAAATGTGCACGAAGTTCTGCAACTACTCATTGCACCCTATCTTGAAGACGCGCCAATCCTACGTTGCCCAGGAGGCACTGACAACAGTCACTCAAAGCGCTTGGTTGGTTTAATTTGCAAGAAGTTGCTCAGACTACTTCTGATTAACCATGCAAAGACGGTCATGGACAGAAACGAAAAATCAGCTGGATATGTGCACAATCCCTCGAGGAAGCACTTTAGGCTGTAGTGAGCACTGTGCGAAAATTGTACAGACCACTACACTCTCGTCTAGAGCAGCTGACCGACGTCATAGGCGGCCTATGAAATGATAATGCAGACCACGGCATTAGGTAGATTGGGCCTGCTTACATTTCACGAGAGTGTACGAATTATTTATCATTTAAAGTTCCTCTCCGTAGAAGGGGTCCGTCTCCTCCTGTTCTTGAGTTGCAACAGAAGTCCTGGAGCTAAAGACAAGTATAGTTTTTCCGCAATTGCATTCGCTGCCTCTACTTACAACTTTTTACTCCCGAATCTCTCGGAGATGTGCATCAAATATTTACCGCTTTGGGCTCATCAGAAACGCATTAGATAGTGGCTGAGGGTCTAAACGTAAGGATCAGGTGTCAAAGGCTATAAAAATATCGGCCACAAGTTGCGACAGCGCTGAGATACACTGCATGTCAGACGCGCTCTGTGCAAACGGCAAAGGGTAGGCCAGGGGTGAGGTGACAGCGCCCCCCGCGAATTGCGGCGGGAGGTGGCGATTGCCCCGATTGCAAAGGCCGTAAAAAGAGGAAGAGAGCGCGCGCTTCCAGTCCGGACGTGGTTAGAGTTCGGCTATTCTCATCACCGCAGTGGTTGGAACACGAGCCACTGCCCGAGTGTCCACCGAGGCATTGATTGTTACGAGCCGATGTCAAGTGCTGACGCAGTTCTCGTGCCCAATCCATGAGCCGCGCTCGACTGTTGACAGGCGGGTGGTTTCAATCCCACAATTACGTCATCAATCTTTGGGACGGCAAGACTAAAAGAAATAATCTCGTTTAATCTTCGCAATTTCACCACGATGAAGAAGCTTCTGAATCAGTGGCGGCCTGTGCGAGTACACTTGGTCCAGAGGACCAGTACGCCTCGGAAAGGTCATGAACATTCCAACCCGATATCGTTTCATGACCCCTTGGAACTTCACAGGGTGCAAAATGAAAGCAATGAAGGGTTGCGGTTAACAAGCGTCAAATAAAATTGTCAAATTAACAGCCACAAACGAAGGAGGTAATTCCTTAGGAATACTTTCAGTCTTTCCACTCTGTTGACGACCAATAAAGCTGTACTATGGTGGGAATGAAGTAATGGCCGGCCGCAAGTCGGTAAGCCAGAGTGGAAAGGCTGGAGGGGTTGCCACCCTCTACGAACGACGGCGAAAACCAGACAACCGGCAAGCCGGTTGTCTGGTTGTCGTCGTCATTTATAGATGGTGAAGTTTAGTGTCATCATTTGTTCGTTGACGGACACGGCACTGGAAAACTAGCCCTTAACAGCACCACTGTATAAACAGGTGCGTCTGTGTGTATGTGTGTGTGTGTGGGGGGGGGGGGGGGGAGTTTTAAAAGCATACTGTGTTGTAAAGGTTCCTCTTCCCTGCATCTTTGGCGCAGACCAAAAAGCGTGACCCTGGAAACTACTTTGATTGGAAAAGCGCTCTTGCCAAAAAGCACGTTTTTGTCGTGCCGGACGCTCGCGCCGTTCCTCACGACGATGCACTACGAATAATAATACGTGCCTTTCAAATACTTGGCTTTCACTGAGCTTGTACCTCCTGCACCGTGCCTTTTGCACCGTCGAATTCGATTTT